CACATGGCGCGCAGACCTCTCCTGCCGCCCACGCTCTCCTCAGCAGTGTACTTCGGTCTTTCTGCTGCTCTGCTCCCTCTGGCTCTGGTGAATTCTCTCACCCTCCCGCGCTTCTGACTGTACCCAGTGCATGTATAAACAAAAAACAAAAAATAAATAAAACATGCCTCTATAAAAAAAAAAGAAAAGAAAAATTAAATAATAAATAAATAAATATGCAATTCTTAAAAAGGTACCATATCTGATTATCTGTAACCTTTGGAAACTATCACAAGAAACTACAAAATTAGTAAATGTCTTGAAATCTGCATATAAAACATAAATTACCTCTAATTTCAAATTCTCATTTATTAGTGTACCACTCAATCTTTAAAAAAAAAAAAAAAGTGGCTCCAAAGATAAGTCTTATAACCATTCTTTTAAAAGGAAACTGTTCCTTCTAACTTTACACCCACCCCACACCCCAATTTCAAAACACATCATTTAAGTGTCTTGGTCATGGACATTTCCAAGATCAGACTTTATATTCGCTCCCATAGCTTCTGGTTATCAGAAAAGCCATGCTTTCCTTTATTGAAGGAGTTTGGTCCAGCTGAAGTTGGCGAATCCCTTCCAATATTCTTTCCTCATCTTTGCTTCTGGAGGTATTTCCTCAGGTTCACTATCTTCATCTTCATTAAAAGCTGCTGCTACTGAAAGGGTTTTTGGAGCAAGAGTTGGAATCGTTCTTTAGGCTTACTTTATCCAAGTTTGATGGATATGGCTGAGGCTTTCTTTGTCATCTGATTACCTATGGCAAATCCAAACTTGGAGATCTTTGAAGGCTTTGTTGGGAGGTCTGCAGCTTCTTCTTCAGCTGATCGCTTCTCAGCACTGCGACTGGAACTTTCCCCTCCATTACTGGAAGAAACAGTCTTAGTTTTCACAGGTTTTTCTGCTTCTTCTTCAGGTCCTCCGGCGGCTTCAGTTCCAAAATATTTGACAATTCAGTGCTTCTCAGCCTTCTCCTCTCCCGCCTTCCCGTCCGCCATTTTCCCCGCCATGGCCTCCTAACAACCCTTTTTGAAATAGTAAAAGCAACATCTAGGTTCTAACTTGAAAACCTAGTCTCTTAAGATTCTTAGTCTCAGAAGAAAGGGAAATGATATAGGAAATATAAATCAGGAAATAGTATCACCTAGTATATTAACTTTGTAGAAGTATTCAAGTATTTGTTAAATTTCATAAGTACATGCATAATGATATCCACTCATTCTTGGTGTGAATAGATTTATCAAAGACCACTTATTTACTTGAGTTACAAGGTCATACTGGTGGACTGTTAGGTAATACCTTCTGTGTTCTTCTAATGAAACATTAAGAGACAAATATGCATATAGGGAGAATGCCAAGTGAATATGAAGATGGTAATCTACATGCCAAGAAGAAAAACCTGGAATAGATCCCTTCATCATAATTCTTAGAACCAGCTCTACTAACACCTTCATTTTAGACTTGCAGACACCAAAACCATGAGACAATAAATTGTGTTGTTTAAATTTCTGTGGTACAGTAATCCTAGCAAACTAATACAGTATCATAGAGCTAGACCAGTTCTGATCATTGAGAAGCTTACCAATTAGAGTCAAGGCTGAAACTATCACAGGATCCTTGTTACATAAAGAAAAATTTACTATACAGCCTGATCTGGAAGGAAAGAAAGCTTATACTCTTCAGATCGTTCTCAGATTTTACTTCAGTGTTTTGGTGGGGGGAAATTACTTCTCCTAAGTTGCATGAGTACTACAGAAACTCAAAACTTCTCTGATCTCAAATTCAGTATCTTTAGAATAGGAGCAAGTAACACTTTAAGGCTCTTCCCCTATTTCACTACACAAATACAGGTAAACGCATTTTGCAGGTGAATTAAAGTATATGATTCTTTAAGATAATGGATTTTTAAGTACATTGGACAGGATATTTAGAAGCACTGAATTGTCAAATATTTTGGAGGTAGGTCATATTAACAGTTGCTCAGAAAACATTATATATAAGACTAAATGTTTAAGTCCGTGGAGTTCAAACATTAAAAAAAAAAAATGGGGGTCTCCCCTGGTGGCACAGGCTGTTGAGCGCAGCACTGTTAGGCCATTCGCAGCCTCTGCAGCGCCAGTTCGATTCCAGCCGGCTGACAAGGGGCCCTCATGGCGTGGCAGACCTCTCCTATCTCGCCCGCTGTTCCCCTCAGCAGTGTATTTTGTCAGTCTGCCTGTTCTGTTTCCTGCTGTTTCTGGTGAATTCTCTCACCCTCCCGCGAATCTGGCCTGTAACCCAGTTCTTGTATAAACAGATGAATAAATCTTTTTTTAAAAAATGGGGCAATTCTACTACAGTTTGGTAATCTAGGAAAGCTGCTACTTAATAAGTATCACAAGCAGAAGCAAAAATCAAGATACTTTATTAGTATATTCCTTTTTAAAAAAAAGATTTTATTTATTTATTTATACAAGAACTGGGTTACAGGCCAGAGGATGGGAGGATGAGAGAATTCACCAGAGTCAGAGCGGGGAGTAGAACAGGCATATCTACTGAGATACACTGCTGAGGGAGCAGTGGGAGAGACAGGAGAGGTCTGCCGTGCCATGTGGGAATCTCCCTGGCTGGCCAAACCCGTATTGCAAAGGCTGTGTGGATAGCTTCACAGTGCAGCGCTCAACCAGTTGCGCCACCAGGGAGGCCTACTTTATTAGTATATTCCTTCTAAAGCAATGTCATTATCTCAGTAATAATCATATTTATAGTTACCTATTTCTGGGATCATCTGGATCTATTAAGTCCAAATACTGACTGTCTTGACATATTTCTACAACAGCAGTACAAAATGTCTCCCTTCACAGTGCAATTTTAGGTTGGCATCAGAAAATAATGAGAATTAAATGACAGGAACATTTTGTAAATTTCTCTTGGACCAGAATGCAGATCTCTCCGACTAAAAATATTAAAGGCACATGGATTAGAGCTTAAACAGTCTAATACAGCTTAAACAGCCTAATACTTAATTTTTTTTTTAAAGATTTATTTTTATTTTTATTTATTTATACAAGCACTGGGTACAGTCAGAGCACGGAAGGGTGAGAGAATTCACCAGGGAGCAGAGCAGGCAGAAGGACCGAAGTACACTGCTGAGGGGAGCAGCGGGCAGCAGGAGAGGTCTGCGTGCCATGTGGGACCCTCCTCCAGTGGCCGGGGAGCAGCCGGGGATCGAACTGGCGCAGCAGAGGCTGCGGACAGCTTTGCAACCCGGCGCTCAACTGCTGCGCCACCGGGGAAGGCCCAATACTTGATTTCTTGACATAAGATTCCATCCAGTTATCTATGACCCTTCTGACTTTAAGAATACCCTAAAGAAAGGGGCACAGATCATCCTCTTGGCACTACATAAGCTTTTAGTACAAGCATGTGGTTGTTATGAAAAAAAGTATCTTTGCCAATCCAAATATTTTGAATGTGAGTGCTACCTGAGTCTTTAATGCTTACAGAAGATTTTCTAAATAAGCTGCTGATGCCTATAACAAAATACGGAAGGACTTTAGTAAAGAAATGAGGAAACCAGGGATATACAAGTGAAACCCTAGAATCAGCTAGGTAAATCTAAATGTATGCAAGACTTTATATGGCTCCAAGTGCCTAGTAAAATAACATAAAAGTGATAGGTCAATGTACACAAAGAATCTTCCTCTCAGAACTGAACAGAGAACAAGCCTTTAGAATACTTCTCTGCAGAAATGAGAAGTTTTGAGAATCAGTTTTGGATCAGTGGTCTTTCAGCTTACACTTTTGAGGCATTGTCTATAAAATGTTTCACAGGAATATACAATTCCACCTCTCCAACCCAAACAGTAGCTTTGTAGTAAAGTCTTGACTTAGACTTGTCCAAGGATAAGAAGCTTCACAAAACTGATAAATCTAATAAGATTCCCTCTTGCCAAAGGCAAACATATTTTTGATGACTAGAAAATAGGAAAGAGGGCCTCCCTGGTAGCGCATGGGGTTAAGACGCAACCTATGAAGCTATCCGCAGCCCCTGCAGAACAAGTTCCATCACAGGCCAGGGAGCTACCCAAATGGCGCAGCAGACCTCTCCTGACTTGCCTGCTACTCCCCTCAGCCTTGTATTTCAGTCAGTCCTCCTGTTCTGTTCCCCACTCTGTCTCTGGTGAATCCTCTCACCCTCCCCCCCACACCTCTGGCCTGTACCCCAATGCTTGTATGCATAAATAAATAACTCTTTTAAAAAAAAAAAGAAAATAGAAAAAAAATTTACTAGGTATATACCAAAAGCTGGGTTCTAGTACCCTTTATATCATCCTATTGCAATGATGGGCTGTCACTGGGAACTTGCTATCAATTCATCACTTGCATTCTTAGCATCAAGTCAAAAAACATGAGTAAATAGATTGTTTATGCTGTTATTAAAGGTAAAAGCTTATCTACATAAATAGCTAGATATCTCCCATATTCCACACTCAGTATATCTGCTGCAATAAAAAGTTTGAGGCTAATGAAAATTCCTGGTATCAAATAAAAGGAGGAGGCTTTTTCGTTAATTTTTTTAATGTCATTTAAACTATGACTATGGAAAATTGTGCTCTGTATTGAACTATGAATGTACAGGCATCTTTGACTATCTCACTGATATTCCTACATCACATAAAGGCAATGCGACAGCTTGAACTGCACTGGGAAAACTGCTAAAAGGGCTATTTGCCAAGAAGCTTTCACCAAATCATTTTTACAAAAAGGCTGATACCCATAATTGGACAACTATAGAGAATAAACAGCATTTCTATTGGCAAACTTGGCAAATTTGTATGAGCTCTTTATTAATTTAGGATATATTCCATATACTTCTGACTCAAATTCTTAGAAAAATCATTTTTTAGTCATTTAGCTACCAAATACATGGAAAATTCAACACAATCAGAGTCCTAATAACAAATACATTTTTGATTTACAAAGGTCTGATCCTGTATTTGCAAAATGTTTGTGTTCTCTTATACTTCACATTTCATAGTACAGCAACACCTCCTTCACAACGGCTTGTGATCATGTTACTGATTTCTGTCCATGTATCTGAATGAGGGTTATAAACCTCAACTGAGTCCAAGGTACCTGGGGCCAAGAAATCATGGCTGGAAGATCGACCTCCAGAAACATATAGAAGCCCATTGACTGCCACAACACACATGCCTGCTCTAGGCACTTTCATTGAGGCAACTTCAACCCATTTTTCCTGGTTAAAAGAAAAAGAAAGTTAGTATTGTCTTAAAATGAAAATAGAGAAAACTAGTGAGAAATCAGATACATGTTTAAATTTTAAACTCATAATCTAGTCATATAGGTATACAGGACATTTTTAACGGGCTCACAGTTTCAAAACATATATACGCTGATATACAAATACTTATAAATGAATTGTTTGACTACATGTATGTACACACATACATATATTTCCCACTTCTGTTTACTGAGCATGCCTAGAAGCTGCAATACCTCAGAAGGAATGAGTATTCTGGGTAACTACATATAAATTTCTAAATACTGTCCTTCACTACTAGAAAACTGGAGTTATAGCACAAAAGAGTATAAGATGAGCTTGAAATATCACTGTATTCTATACTTGTAATTCGTTAAGATACTAGATCTTAAATGCTCTCATCACATACACAAAAAGGGAACTATGTGAAATAATAAAAATGTTAATTACCTTGATCATAATAATCATTTTTTAATTTTTTAAATATTTATATATTTATGCATACAAGAACTGGGGTACAAGCCAGAGATTTGGGGAGTGAGAGGATTCATCAGAGACAGAGTGGGGAACAGAACAGGCAGACTAACTGAAATACACTCGTGAGAGGAGCAGCAGGCGGGCGAGACAGGAGAGGTCTGCCTCACCATGTGGGTTGCTCCCTGGCCAGCCGGGGATCGAACTCGTGCTGCAGAAGCTGCGGATTGCTTCATAGTATGGTGCTTAACCCCTTGCGCCACCAGGGAGGCCCATGATAATCATTTTTAATGTATACATATATCAAAACATCACCCTGCACATCTTACACATAATTTTTATTTGTCATTATACCTCAATAAAGTTGGAAAAAAACATAAAACACAAAGAGAAAAAAGATGGGGGCGGAACTAACAAAGCCTTATGACTGTGGGACAGTAGTATCAAGAGGTTTTACATGCCTATTATTGGAGTCAAAGAAAAAGAACAGGAGAATATTTGAAAAAATATGGCTGAAAACATTCCAATTGATGGAAGTGATTATCAATTCCACTGATTCAAGAAGCGCAATCAATTCCAAGCAGGTTAAACACAAAACTAACAAGACACACCATAATCAAATTACTATAACCCATGATAAAGAGGAAATCTTAAAAGCCACCAAAGAAAAAAAGGCACATTAATACAACAGGAACAAGGACTTCCCATCAGAAAGAATACGGCAAAATAATTAAACACTTTTATGGTAATGGAGGAAATATAACCACCTAAAATTCTATATTCAGCAAAACATCTTTCAAAATGTTAGGTTGGGGAGAAAAAGAGTTCAGAAAATGAAAGCTAAGAGAATCAATGCCAGCAGACCAGCAATAAAAAGAAGATTAAAGAAAGTAATTCAGGCTAAGAGAAGATGGTAAGAGATAGGAACTTAGCTTGATAAAAAATGAAGAGAAAAAGGAGTCGATATATGTATAATTACAAAAGTTTTTTTTTTTTTGGTGGGACCCTCGCCCGTGGCCGGGGATCGAACTGGCGCTGCAGAGGCTGAGGGCAGCCTCACAGCCCAGCGCTCAACCGCTGCGCCACCAAGGGAGGCCCAATTACAAAAGATTTTATCTTTAAAAAAATTATCTTGGGTGGGGCCTCCTAGGGGACTGAGGGCTTAAGTCTTAGGCTGTCACCACTGAGTGATTCCCAGCCAGGGAGCTGACCCATATGGCACAGCAGATCTCTCTTGTCTCGCCCACTGCTCCCCTCTACTGTGTATTTCAGTTAGTCTGCCTGTTCTGTTCCCCACTCTGTCTCTGGTGAATCCTCTCACCCTCCTGCACATCTGGCCTGTACCCCAGTTCTTGTATGCATGAATAAATAAATTTTTTTAAAATTGAAAGCATAAGGGGAAAAAAAGATATACCATATAAATACTAACCCCAAAATAGCTTGGTTACATTAACATCAGTATACTTTAGAACAAAGAATATTATCAGAAATAAAGAAAAACATTTCATGATTAAAAAATGATCAATTCACCGAGAAGACATAATCTCTATGTGTACATATTTAGTAACAGAGATTCAAAATATTTGGAGCAAAATCTGACAGAAATGAAGGAAGAGACAGAAAAACCCATAATTAAAGATTTCAACAGCCTTTCTTTCTTAGCAATTGACTACACAACTGGATAAGTTGAAAAGTCTAGAGAAGACTTGAACTACCCAAATTCAGCTACACAATTTGACCTAACCAACATTTATCAAGCACTACACTCAAGAATAGAATATAAATGCTTTTCAGATGCACATAAAACATTTATCAAGAAAGAAATCACACAAAATATGTTAGCCAAATTGGAATTGAATTAGAAATCAATTACACAAAAATATTTGGGGAAATTCCTAAATATTTGGAATTTAAATAACATACTTCTTACAACACATTAGTCAAAGGGAAAATTAGAAGCTATTTCTAGATAAATGATAGAGCACAAAATATCAAAATGTGTGGGATGAAGTGGAATGCAGTTAAAGCAAGATCTGAAAATAATTTATAGCTTTAAAGGTTTACATTATAGAAAAAGGACAGTTTAACTCAATTATCTAAGCTTCCACTTTAAGAATCTATAGAGAGCAAAGTGAATCCATAAACAAATGAAAAGGAAAAAAAAGTAACAGAAATTGATTAAATAGGATGTGGACAATCAGTAGGAAAAAAAAAACCAATGACTAAAAGCTGGTCCTATTTTTTTAAAAGAGGGAAAGAAACCTATAAATGATTGCTATCATGAATGAAAGCACATTACTATAGGTCTTACAGACACTGAAAGAATAGGGTATCAAACATCTGAAATCATGCAACCTACCTCTTCAAAGGAATATTTTTCTACAGTATGAAGAGCATCTTGTGTTTCATTCCACCCTCCAATAGAATAGATGCAGTCATTGAGTGCAGCCACCCCAAGATATGCTCTCCTAGTTCCCATTGGAGGAAGTGGAGACCAACGCTTGGAAAGTGGATCATAAACTTCGAAAGAACAAAGCTCTATTCCTTCGTTACTGATGCCTCCAACTACATAAATTAAACCTAGAAATGGAAGATTTTTGCTCAGATGCTATAAAAAATAGAATTTAAATGCTTATAAAAAGTAATAGCTGTGATTTAAGTTTGCTATATGATGCTATATTTAATAAGGTTTAAATATTCTTTAAAAGAGAAAATTGACTTCTGTCTAGTTAATGACAGATCACATTTAAGCATGTTACAAAGAATTAGGGGTACGAATTTAAAGTGGCTTTGAATTTTCAAATAACTTAGTAATGCTATAACAACTAGTCAGATATGGATGTCCCATCTTTTTGTCTGCCTGATCATCTCAGGTTCCAGATTCGATACTATCATACATAAAGTATGATAAACAAGGAAAAGGAAAGGGATTTTTTTTTTCCCCTAAAAAAAGTCAAGTACTTAAAGCAGAATGACAAGATCCTGTTTGGTGACATCCTACCTATTGCTCAGATGGAGCAATAAAACAGAGAGCTGAATTTACTGAATAATTATATGGCTATATAACGGGATCAACCAATAGTGTAAAACAGAATATAACTTGGGCCTCCCCGGTGGCGCAGCAGTTGAGTGCTGGGTTGCGAAGCTGCCCGCGGCCTCTGTGGCGCCGGTTTGATCCCCAGCTGCTCCCCGGCCACCGGCCACCGGAGGAGGGTCCCACATGGCGTGCAGACCCCTCCTGCCGCCCGCTGCTCCCCTCAGCAGTGTGCTTTGGTCCTTCTGCCTGCTCTGCTCCCCGCTCTGGCTCTGGTGAATTCTCTCACCCTCCCACGCTTCTGACTGTACCCAGTGCATATATAAACAAACAAACAAACAAATAAATAAAACATGCCTCTATAAAAAGAAATATAACTTATAGAATTTCTTTTGAGATTTGACTTGAACCTAATGATTATGATAATTTACAATTATTTTTGAATCTAGTGTGTTTCCCATGTCTAAAGTGAGGAGTTGCAAGTTGTTTTTTTTTTGGTTGTTTTTTTAAAAGATTTATTTTTGTATAGAAGAACTGGGATACAGGCCAGAGGTGCAGGGCATAAGAGGATTCACCAGAGACAGAATAGAGAGCAGAACAGGAGGATTTTACTGAAAGGGGAACTGCTAAGGGGAACAGAAGAAGAAACAGCAGAGGTCTGCTGCGCCATGTGGGTTAGCTCCCTGGACAGGATTGAGCACAGACCACAGAGGTGCTGAGACTTAAACCCTGCACCACCAGGGAGGCCCTGAGGAGTTTTAAGTTATAAATAATGGCATTTTAAGAAATGTGATTACATGGTGATAAACTTGGGTTCTAGCTCCAGCTTTGCCGATAATGTACTAAGAGAAAAGACAACTTACTACTTCTTAAACTATAAATACTAGGGTTGAAAAAACTAAACTTGTGGGTCTCAGCAAGTTAAGTCAGGTTAAGTCTCAGCACTACTATGCTATCACCACTGCAGCCTGTGTTTGATCCTGGCCAGGGAGCTAACCCACATATAGTGCATCAGACCTCTCCTCTCTTGCCCACTGCTCACCTTAGCAGTGTATTTTAGTAGATCTGCCTGTTTTGCTCCCCACTCTGTCTCTTGTAAATCCTCTCACTCCATCCTGCATCTCTGGCCTAAACCCCAGTTCTTCTATGCACAAATAAATAAATAATTTTTTTTTTTTTTAATTTATTTGTTTGCTCATGCACTGGGTACAGTCAGAAGCGTGGGAGGGTGAGAGAACTCATGAGAGCCAGATCGGGGAGCAGAGCAGGCAGAAGGACCGAAGCACACCGCTGAGGGGAGCAGCGGGCGGCAGGAGAGGTCTGCGCGCCATGCGTGACCCTCCTCCGGTGGCCGGGGAGCAGCCGGGGATAGAACCGGCGCCCGCAGAGGCCGCGGGCAGCTTCACAACCCAGCGCTCAACCGCTGCGCCACCAGGGAGGCCCAATAAATAAATCTTTAAAAAAAAAAAAAAAAAACAAAAAACAACTTCAAGATGACTCTCTAGCTCAATGATTTTATTTTTTTATTTTTTTTAAAAATAATCCCTGTTGTTGACTTTTTTTTTTTAATTATTTAATTATTTATTTTATTTATACAAGCACTGGGTACAGTCAGAAGCGTGGGAGGGTAAGAGAATTCACCAGAGCCAGAGCGGGGAGCAGAGCAGGCAGAAGGACCGAAGTACACTGCTGAGGGGAGCAGCGGGCGGCAAGAGAGGTCTGCGCACCACGTGGGACCCACCTCTGGTGGCTGGGGAGCAGCTGGGGATCGAACCAGCGCTGCAGAGGCTGCGGGCAGCTTCGCAGCCCAGCACTCAACTGCTGCACCACCGGGGAGGCCCTAGCTCAATGATTTTAGATGGGAAGATAAAAATAATAAATATAAAACAACTAGAGAACACTATAATGTTAAACAATAGAATATAGTCTATATCATGTAATTTGAACATTTAAATGGTAGTGGAAATCTGAAAAAATACTCGTAAAGCAGAAAGAACTTGAGCTGCTAACAGAGCAGGTTGAGTTGTCATATAATAATAATGGGCAATTTGCTTCCTCTTCTTCAGGTACATATAAAACTGTCCTTCAACAGAGGACAAAGAATCAAGTTCTATTTGACAGTGCTGACTAACTACCTCTCAGAGAATAGGATATTAATGTCTGTATACCATCTTAATATGCAGTATTACATTTATCAAATCTGACATAGCATTATGTTCTGTGTGAACTAAATTACAATATACCCTGTTTAAAAAAAAACACTGAAGAAGCCTGTAAGTCTAAGAAGATTGTTTTTGATATTTCCTACTTAGAAAAACTACTTAAGAAATACTACTTAGAAATACTAAGGCCTTCATGGGAGAGAAAATGATGATAACAGATGACATTTCAAATGCTTATTTTGCTAGCCAGGTATATTTTTGTGTATTACGAATGTTAGTTTTGTTTAATTATGAAAAATGGAATATTTTGGCACTGTAGAAATAAAGAGACAAAAGGCTAAAAGAAGAAGTTAAAAGCTGAATTTCCATTCTGTTAGTGTCAATCATTCAATACTAACAGACATAAAATATGTTTCTGTGAAAATAAAGCCTCAAACTCAAGTTTTTCAAAAATATTTTTTCAGGAAAAATATTTTATAAAGCAATTACCTTGCATTTCACAGCATCCAAAATAGTAGCGTGACATAGCCATGTTGCCAACTACTTCCCATTTATTTTCATCAGGATCAAATCGTTCAATGGTGTTCCCAATCTCAGCTCCAACCCATCCACCTATAACAAAGAGAAAAATGTTATTTCTGGAATAAAGAAATTTTATTTATGAAAAGCTCCTTAGAAAACATCTACTATGACCACATATTCTACATGATTATTACATGGACCAGAAAGGTTATTTGCCAAGGATCACACAAAAAGTTATAAATTGAGTGTAAAACTCAAGTCTTTTACTCTGTCTAGTTTTTACTAGCAAACAAAACTTACCATTGCATAGAAAATACTGTAATTTGTAAAACTACTTTGAAACATCTGCATATTCAAAATGATTATTCTATAAGCCCTAACTAGTCAACTAAAGTGATTCACTGCCTCTCTCATTTATATTTTATCTCCATCTCCATAAGAACTAAGAATTTCATGCTTGAAAATATTCCCCAAGTAATATAATTTTGAGAATAAGAATTTATAAAGCTAAAAGATACACATTTCTTAGGGGAGAGAAGAAACAATTCTAAAATAATCAGAATCTGAGGATGTAAATAATAATAACTATCCTTAAATTGAAGAGAATAATTGGGGCCTCCCTGGTGGTGCAAAGTGTTAAGTCTCAGCACTAGGAAGCTATGGGGAGCCACTGCACTAACAGTTCAATCCCTGGCCAGGGAGCTGACCCACATGGCCCAGCAGACCTCCTGTCTTGCCCACTACTCCCCTCAGCAGTATATTTCAGTACATCTGCCTATTCTGCACCCCACTCTGTCGCTGGTGAATCTTCTTAGGCCCCACACCTCTGGCCTTTACCCCACTTCTTGTATGCATAAATAAATAAATCTTAAAAAAAAACCACAACAAAACTGAGGGTCTCCCTGATGGCGCAAGTGATTAAGCACAGCACTATGAAATAATCCGAAACCTCCACAGCATGAGTTCGATCCCCTGCCAGCCAGGGAGCAACCCACATGGCGCAGCAGACCTCTTCTGAATCGCCTGCTGCTCCCCTCAGCAGTGTGTTTCAGTCAGTCTGCCTGTTTTGTTCCCTACTCTGTCTCTGATGAATCCTCTCACTCCCCGAATCTCTGGTCTGTACCCCAGCTCTTGTATGCATAAATAAATAAATCTTTAAAAAAAAAAAATGAAGAGCATAATTACCCAATGCATAGATAGCCCCGTAACACACGCACACTCCCAAGCCACAGCGGGGGTGATTCATGGAAGCTACAGTTGTCCACTGTTTAGTAACTGGATCATAGCATTCAGTACAGTCAAAAATCATTGAATCCTTTTCACCTGAATTAATGAAAGAGAAATATATGAGAAGATTTAGTAATGCTAATAGGCTAGAACCATAATACATATCAGCAGCACTCCTTGTCAGAAATTCAACCATTTTGTCGGATTTTATACTTTTCATTAAAATTCATTTGCCCAGCAAACATTATTTTGAATCCATAACATTGTTATTTATTAAAGTCCACTTAATGAAACAAAGGCACAGTTTTTCCCATTATTTTTAATTCTATCCAAAACAATCCATGTAATATTTGAGGAGTCAATTTGCATTTTAACACTCCTTATGTATCTTTACATATTAGTTTGGATAGCTGGCCCTGGTACAATTTGAGATTTAATGTAGTCCTTATCTAGAAACAAACAAAAGGAAATAAAAAGCTATCACTGAAAATTGAATTTTATTTATTTTTGTTATTTATATAACAGGAGTGTAGGTCAGAGTGGGCGGTGAGAGGACTCATCAGACACAGAGTTGGAAGCAGAACTGGCAGATCTACTGAGATACACTGCTGCGGGTGCAGTCAGACAGGAGAGATCTGCTGCGCCATGTGGTTTTTCCCTGGCGGGGATCAAGCTTAGACCATAGAGGTGATAGTCAAGGCTTCTTGGCTGAGGAGGTGAAATGGGGATGAAAAAGTCGACCTGAGTTCTACTTACCATGTTTTTTAATATCTAATTGCACAAAGTACTATATGTTAGCAAGGGACTGTCTCCATACCTTGTCCCTACATCTAGAAGCAATATTGAGGGCCTCCCCCCGCGTGGCGCAGCGGTTGAGTGCTGGGTTGCGAAGCTGCCTGCGGCCTCTGCGGTGCCGGTTCGATCCCCGGCTGTTCCCCGGCCACCGGAGGAGGGTCCCACATGGTGCGCAGACCTCTCCTGCCGCCCGCTGCTCCCCTCAGCAGTGTGCTTCGGTCCTTCTGCCTGTTCTGCTCCCTGCTCTGGCTCTGGTGAATTCTCTCACCCTCCCGCGCTTCTGACTGTACCCAGTGCATGTATAAACAAAACAAACAATAAAAATAAATAAAAACATGCCTCTATAAAAAAAAAAAAAGATAGAAGCAATATTGAGAAAAGAAGATAAAGGTCAACTAACACACACACGTTCGTGTATGTACACACAACACATATATGTACACACCACACACACAAAGGCATGTAAAGAATATGGCCAACTTATAGCCAGAGACTAATAAAGGAAATAAAACATTATCACTATTACCTCCAATAGCGTAGACCATCCCGCCCAGAACTGCTACTCCCAGCCCACATCGAGCCTGATGAAGTGAAGACACAGTGGTCCAATACTGGCTGAAGTGTCAAAACGCTCTACACAGCTGAGGGCTCTGCTATCACTCCAACGACCCCCCTGCAACCGAGTATATCCACCTAAACATAGGAAGGAAAGGATGTACAAAGTAAATCCCTTACTGTTAAATATGCAAATGGTAATGAGAAAAATCTACTCTCCTACAGCTAGACATTGAGTAAAACTATTTAAATAGCAAGAACTAAGTGCTTTAAAGTCTACTATATATACACATATTATTCTTAAATGTGCCAAGTTCTGAAAAATATGGCTTGAATGTAATGAGGTTAATATGGTTCTATCTACCCTCTGATCATGGTTATAACAAAATGTTAGAGAAATCATAAATCTAGAAGATAGTTATCTGCCTAATTAAGAAGTTTCATTTTGATTTCTATTAATTTCTTTTTCAATTAAAAACTCTAAGCATGAATTAAAAAATGACATTCATAGCATATATAAAATTACACAAATATTTATATACAAATTATACATAAATTGCTACCTCTATAAATCTGGACAATCTGTTTATAGATGTATATCAAATATTGATAGGATTTAATGCTTTTTAAAATAAAAACGAAAATTCATCTGGGTTATCCTGTACAACCACACTTGGAGATCACTGGTTCTACCCATCATCCCTAATGACCATCTAAAACACTATAAGGGGCCTCCCTGGTGGCGCAAGGGGTTAAGACGCAGCACTATGAAGCTTTTCACAGCCACTGCAGCACGAGTTCGATCCCCAGCCAGGGAGGTGACCCCGCATGGCACAGCAGACCTCTCCTGTCTCGCCTGCTGCTTCCCTCAGCAGTGTATTTCAGTCAATCTGCCTGTTCTATTCCCCACTCTGTCTCTGGTGAATTCTCTCACCCCCTGCACCTCTGGCCTGTACCCTAGTTCTTGTATCCATAAATAAATAAATCTTAAAAAAAAAAAAAAAGAGGCTCCCTGGTGGCGAAAGCAGTTGAGCGCAGTGCTGTGAAGCTGTCCACTGCCTCTGCAGCGCCGGTTCGATTCCTGCCAGCAGGCAAGGGTCCCACATGGCGCAGCAGGCCTCTCCTTTCGCGCCCCGCTGCTCCCCTCAACAGTGTATTTCATCAGTCTGCTTGTTCTGTTCCCCACTCTGTCTCTGGTGAATCCTCTCACCCTCCCATGCCTCTGGCCTATACCCCAGCTCTTATATAAAATAAATAAATCTTTAAAAAATAAATAAATAAAGAAAAGAAAATTTAAAAATAAGAAGAAATGCACTGCTGAGGGGAGTAGCAGGCAAGACAGGAGGAGAAGTCTGCTGTGCCATGTGGGTAGCTCCCTGCCAGGGATTGAACCTGTGCTGCAGCAGCTGCGGATAGTTTCATAGTGCTGAGAGACTTAACCTCTTGCCACCAGGGAGGCCCAAGAATTCAAATTTTTAACTTTAAAGCGTCATTTCTTTAATCAGTTATTTCATGATAACTTGGCAATTTAAGAACCCAAAACATTTATTTTTTTATTTTTTATTTTTTTAGAACCCAAACATTTAGATCACAGAATAACAAATGTCAATAGGTAGTTACTTATTCTTAGATATGTTGACCGTATTATATAAATGCAATTTATAAAGTTGTAGCCTGTATGTGAAATTAAATATGCCTATTTTGACATAAACTGCATATGCACAACTTTATTGTAATATCAACAAAATATTAAAAGGTAAATAAAGATAATTTCTATTACTTTACTAAGAATTCTCACCTACTGCATATAGGTACTTTCTTGCTTTCTTCCCGAGGTCGAACCTTAGATGTCTGCAGAAAACTACAAAACTTGCCTCTTTGGAAGCTTTGCACACCTCACAGTACTCTTTCAAAAGTGTTTGCAATGCAACACGAAGATTAAAATCTGATACACCTAAAGCAATGTTTTAAAGAGATGTTTAAAGAACTTTTAAATAATATTAAAGACATGTTTTCATAAAAATAATAGACATTTTATAATCAAAAATAAAAAACACATGATTAAACAAGTGTTTATTTCCCACAAAACCAAATATTCTATTTCTCATTGCTACTAAAGAATATTTTCCTTAAATCAAAGATTGTTTTTAAAAATATGCTTCCAGGGCCTCCCCTGGTGGCGCAGCAGCAGTTGAGCGCTGGGTTGCGAAGCTGCCCGCGGCCTCTGCGGTGCCGGTTCGATCCCCAGCTGCTCCCCGGCCACCGGAGGAGGGTCCCACATGGCGCGCAGACCTCTCCTGCCGCCCGCTGCTCCCCTCAGCAGTGTACTTCGGTCCTTCTGCCTGCTCTGCTCCCCCGCTCTGGCTCTGGTGAATTCTCTCACCCTCCCGCGCTTCTGACTGTACCCAGTGCTTGCATAAATAAATAAATGAATCTTAAAAAAAAAAAATAAAAAAAAATAAAAAAAATATGCTTCCATTGTTTTTAAAAATATGGATATTATCCATAATATCCAATTTGAAACAATGAATGAGGATTTCTAATAAAGATGGCAAGTTTAAAAGGATCACAGTTATCTAACAAAAAAAAAAATTAAGTAGCCCCAAATTCTATACTTACAAACTAGTAACAAAAAGAATATAAAATTATATCATGAATTTAGTCAATGAAAGAAATAAAATATTCTGGTGGGATGAGTTCCATTCCTAAAAAGACATTGAGCATGATTGGTAGAAATCTGGAGATTCTCACTAATAAACATTATTGGCGAGAGGTAGATTGAGCAGGTAAGAAGCATAACTGTGAAATCAAAGACAAAAATCATTAATAGGAAGTTCCTTGTAGGACCATCAGTGAAGGTAGTGTGGCTCACCAATCTTTGCCATTCAACAGTGCTACCCGAAGAGTACTAGTGAGATCCATTCTTGATGGGGTTAAGAAAACCCTGATACAAGACGAATACTAATTGGATTTTATTTTTTAAAAAGATTTATCTTATTGGGCCCCCCTGGTGGCACAGGCGGTTTGAGTGCAGTGCTGTGGAGCTGTCCAGTCAGCCTCTGCAGCGCAGGTTCAATCCCAGACGCCGGCGAGAAACCCCACATGGCCGGGAGACCTCTCCTGTCTCACCCGCTGCTACTTTCAGCAGTGTATTTCAGTGGATCTGCCTGTTCTGCTCCCGCTCTGTCTCTGATGAATCCTCTCACCCCCTGCACATTTGGCCTATACCTCAGTTCTTGTATGCATGAATAAATACAGCTTTAAAAAAAGATTTATTTATGC